GACACTGTCCTTCTGGTTCCTGCCCACCCGGAGCCCAGGCAGCCACAGCAACCAGGTGACTGAACGCCAGCCTGGTCCTTTGTGCGGGCTCCTTCTCCTCCCCCAGCCCAGGCACAAGCTCTGAACAGCCATTTGCTCTTCCCTGAGAAATTCCCCCTCCCTGACTTTAGGGAGCTGGCAGAGCCAGAGTGGAAAATCAGTGAAGCTAATGGTGTAGCAATGCAGAAGTCAGAGCCAAGAACACAGCCCTGGAGAGGCTCTGCCGCACTTGCCCAGTGTGGTCGAGCAGGACACGTGAGTACTGCTCCCTCACATTCTCATGTCCCATGCCCAGTGCCAAGCCCGGCCTGCCCCCACCCCTCTCAGCTCTGCTCGTAACACTTGCGAACACTTGCTTCCAAAAGCACTCTGGGGCCACCTCTCCCCGGGGAGCAGTGCCGGACAAAGCAGATTCTCGGGGGAAACCTAGTGGCTCAGCATGCTGCAGGATGCCGTGCACCTAAACCCTCCACCCTGGTTCCCAGGTGGGTCACCCAATGTCACCTTCTGCTCCATGGAATTCCACTAGCTTTCTGGCAGATGGCAGTGTGAGCTAGAAGTAAAAGGGGTTCTTTGCACAAAAAGATATTACATTGGGGACAGTGGGTCAGAGGCAAGCTCCAGCCTGTGTCCTCAGGCGGCCACCAGATGCTGGTTCTCTGGCCACACCAATTGGCCACAGCCTGTCTGAGGCCAGCCGTGGGGTGCCCTCTGGTACCTCTGTGAGGCTCCCCCAGCGGCTAGGCTGAAATGTATGCACCCCTTTGGGCCATAGGCAGCTGTGGGAGCCCTTGGAGGGTTGCCTGAGGCAGCCAGGGCCCTGTGTCTGAAAGCAGGACAATGTCTCAGGACACTTACAGGCTCTCCCCAAGGGTGCAGGTTTCTGCAGAACACAAAGACAAAGCCTTGCTTTGTGGCGCCCGGCATCCAGGGGGCTTGCAGCCAGAAATGGAAACGTGCGACTTTTCCATTAAGGGTAACCTCTCCCCCTTCAACCGGCCACCAGACTCTTTCAAATCTGGGTAGGTGGGAGGAGCTGTAAAACCCCAGCCCATTAAATCGCTTATTAGTTGCAGGTTTCTGGGCATGTACGCAAGTATTTTGAGACTGTAAGTCTCATACTGTCCCCTCAACCACAGGGCCTGGGGGTTTTAATTCATGTTACTGCTGAAAAGTGGCCTTGCAAGCAGTTTTGGACTCTCCCACAGGCTTTTCCCTTGAGTCTTATTTTAAGACTCTCCCACAGGCTTTTCCCTTGAGTCTTATTTTAAAAGGGGGAAAATACATAGAAACAACCTTCCTCACATTGAAAATGTCTTTCAAGTTGGTGCAGATCTTTGAAAGGGGCATTCTGCCCCATGACCCAGCTACAGTCTGTCACAGGTTTCCCTCCCTGATCTGAACCGAGTTGGCCTCTTTCAGATCCCAAACTAGAAAAGGGAAAGGCCAGCAGAGGGGAGGTGGGGGTGGGGGTGCAAGAGGGAGGCTGGTTTTCCTGGAACCCTTATTAAATCAACTTTCCAAGGACAGCCAGAAACTGCAGGCCCTCCCCGCTCCCTCAGGAACATTTGCAGACAGTGAGGAGGGGCTCCCAACACACACACACACACACACATGCACACACACGCACACACATGGGCACATGCACAATTACAGCAGAGCCTTTCTAATGGGGAAAGGCTCTCAGTGTGAGCAAGGTTTGGGGCAGTTTGCTTTAAACTTCTGGACAAAGCTTCTATACACAGATTACAGTCTTGTTGGAGGACAATAGCAGCATTATTATTTAATCATCAGCAGGGCCAAGACTGTACAACAATACATCTGTGAAATGTCCTATAGTTTATAAAGCATGGAGATAGATTTTCCCTATGACTTCACAGCAGTTCTCCAAAGACCATGGGGCAAGGGATATCATCACAAAGTTCAAGAGGATTAAGCCATATAAAGCCCCAAACCAAGAGAGGGATGTATTCAATCAAATGGGATCTGAGACTTGTTCTGAAGCCCAGTGGATTTCCACTTCTGTGTCCTAAGGCATTCCACATCCATCTGTGAAACAAGCCTGTCACCAGGTGGGGTCTCCTGTGGGGTCCCAGAAAGAGACACCCACAACTGACATTTATTGCTCACTGGCTATGTACCAGGCACTATTATAAGAGCTTTGCATATATTTCCATTTGATATTTACAATGACCTGAGCAGATGTTCATTATCAGTATATTTTACAGAGGCACAAAGAGGAACCTAGAGAGCCAGCAGTGGGAAGTGGTGCCAAAATCAAAACCCATGCAAAAACTTGAACATGAATGCTCACAGGAGTTTTATTAAGAAGAACCAACACTGTTAACCCCAAAGGGCATCAACAGGTGAATCCATCATGCAATTCCATGCAATGAAATTCTAGAAGAGGCCAAACAAATCTAGGGTGACAGAAAGTAGGTCCCTGGTTGCCTGGGGTCCCTGCTGCAAAGGGGCACGAGGGGTATTTTGGAGGGGAAGAAAATGTTCCCCACTCCTGACTGGGGTGGGAGTTACACGGGCTGTTACAGTAATCAAAACACATCAAATTGTACACTTGAAAATTGGTGCATTTTGTAGAATGCAAATTATACTGCAATTAGGTTATTTTTTAGAAATGGCCATCTACTGCAGTCTCTACTGGCACGTACCCTCCCAATGTCCCGTACCCCAACTCCCTCCTTCCCATTCCTGGAGCCTGGACTTTCTCCTCATCAAGACCTTTAGCCCCTGGCTCCATCCTCCATCACGGCCTTGCTTCCTTCCCCAGGCTGGAGCCACAACCAGCAACCCCCACGAACCCCTCCACCACCATACCCTGAAATTCCCTGTGCTTGGACCCTGGCTCCCCTTCCTGCTTACAATGTGCCCAGGCCCTATATCCATCCTACTCACTGTCTCTGCCTTCCATTTCTGGGCTACAAATGAGTGTGTTAGAGAAAGTTAAAAAAGAAAAAGTACTTTAGGGTCCATCACAAATTCATACCCTCAAACCTCATCCAAGCCCTCATTGCTTTTTAGACTCCAGGCTCATCCAAACCTTCCCTACTCCTTATAAGCCTCCGACCCTCACTCACTCCCTTTACTCATCCAGAGTTGACATCCAACCTAGTAAGGCCACAGGTTCTATTTCTGTAGTGTCTGTGCTAGTTTTCCCTTCCTCACAGCCCCCACCCTAGTTCACAGCCCACTTCCTTGTCTCCCTGACCACTGCTCTCAGCAGTCACTACTAATACTTTGCCGGGAGGAGCTTTATCTGGATTTTCTCACTTAATCCTTTATTATTGTCTCTACTTTAAAGATGGGACAATAACTAAGCAAACTAAGGCTTTAGTGTGTCTGAGTAATTTGGCAAAGTAAGTAATGCACCTATTAAGTGGCAGAGCACGATTTAAACACAGGTCAGTGTGATGACTTCCTCCGATCCATCCAAATTCAGCTGCCAGATTAATTTTCTCAAAGGTCAATCACATCACTACCTGTTCAAACTTCTCCTGATTCTCTGGACCTGCCCATCTACGTAGTTTCCTTAGCAGGGTCTTAAGGCCTTCCATGTGCCAACTCAATCCAGATGTTCCGGGCATCACTTCCCACAGCTACCTACTCACTGGCAAATCATTCTGTATAAATCTTACCTGCCTCCGTACCTTCACTCATGCTGCTCCACCTGGAAAGTCCTTTCTTTCCAGCTTCCAAACCCTGACCCAACCCTCTAGACCCACCTCAAATGCTCTCTCCTCCTCTCTTCCTCTGCATCCCCATGGCCTTTTCTTGCAACTCCACTGTGTGGTTTAAATATGGTCTGTCTTGCACTGAGTTGCCTCTGCTCGTCTCCCCACTACCCGACAATGAGCACCCTGTGGCAGAGACTATCTCTCTGCCTTGGGGCTCCAGCACATTCCAGGTCTTGTCTTCAGCTCTGTTACTGAATGCAACATTAATCTGTCTGCTCCAGCCAAGTACACCCTGGAGAAAGTCTCACACATCCATCCCTCCTTCCCCATCACCATACAAGTGGACAAATATTCTTACTCATTCATCATTCAAACGGATCTTGACAGCTGAGACTGATGGCTCTTGAAACACAGCCACTATGTGACCTGCACACTGAGTGTCCACCCAGTGCCTATCAACCTTCTCTATTTATGTGATTAGCCACCAAGTCACAAGCAGTTACCCTTTGGCAACTGGAATGCCTAAATCTGAGCTCTCAGAGACCGCTGAATGCCACAAGGTACACTGTACCTGTCATCTCCATGAATCATTTTCACAAGCCAACAAATCCCATAAGCAGCACAGCATGTCCTTCCCGTTACTAATAATCTTTCTGAATTTCAACAAATTCTAGATCTCTACCACCAACCAAGCCCTAAGGATGCTCCCTGGTTCTCCATCTCTTCGAAAGCTCTCCAGGGGCACAGAATCGAAGCAACCTGCTCAGCAGGCCTCCAGACTAGGACTGCCCACCCTCAGAGATGTATCTTTGGAACAGTTTTCTAGAAGCCAGAGGTCTTTATGAAGCTCCCACATGCCTCAAAGCCCCTGCTGTCTGATCCAAGTTCTAAACACATTCATAAGTCAGCTCCTCCCCACTGCACCGCCCGGCCCACATTGTACATCATGTAGGCTAGGAGCTGGCTGATGGGTTCCCATCATAAGTTCTTTTTTCAGGAAGAGACAAACATAAACCCACGCTGAGCACATCACCACTGGCAAATGGATGTCACTAGCCTTTGTGACTAACCTCTGTTAAAGCTGGTTACACATGCAGATATATGCTTATAACCAGGCCCAAACCAGCCCATGATCCTGGGGGTCTCTCCTTCAAAAGGAGCCCTTTGCTCCCCCCAAGGGTGGAGCCTTCCCTGTCGACCACACCACCTCTGTTCTGGCTGCCCTGTTTCTGAGGCCCAGGAGTGGGCTGACCCTTGGAGCATCCCTACCTTGTTCAGGCAAGGTCGGGGCCGGCCGGGCAGTGCAGAGTGTGGCTGTGACCAGCACAGCCCAGAAGAGGAGGCACTTCCAGCTCCACATCCCAGTTCTGCAGTTAGAGGTTGGTGACCAGGCTCCACACCTCCATGGAGACTTCACCGTGAGCTGGATCCTCCTTTTCGAGAAAGAAAAACCAGGAGGTTAGGAGGGTCTACACGGGAGGCAGGGGGCGAGGAGGAAAAGGTAAAGCATGTCACTCGGGCACAAGAGCGCCTGAAGCAGTAACTTACTCCTTAAGGCACAAGGAAGAGAACTGGAGTCCTGCCTCAAAGCCGAATTCAAGGTTATAGGCTTCAATTAGACAAAGGAGTGCTTTAATTCAGCTCTGTATCTATTTGCAGTGTGGACTCCGAGCAAGCCTTGTTTGGAAAATGATCATGAAGTTCTCCAAACCCCAGGACTGTTCGTGTTGGGAAAATGAAGTGCCCCATGAAAAGTCCCAAGTAGTTCTTGTACTTCAGAGGAAAGGGTTTCATACAGTGTGGTGGGACTGCAGGAGCCGAGTGCGCCGAAGACTCAGACTTTGCTCCATCTAGGGCAAACCAACCCCTCGGCACAGGATAGAGAGAGATGAGATGCGTGACAGAAGAAGCCACGCACTGGGAAACGGGAGCCAGGCCAGAAGCTGACCCTCTCTGGACCTACTACTCAGTGAGGCAGCTGAAATTAGCGACCTCCCAGGTTCTTTCTCTTTATCTTTAAAACTGACGCATCACAGGGACCTCTGGTCCTACCAGCCTCCCTCACAGAGGGAACGTAACTCTCACCACCCTGGGGAGGGCCTTGGTGCAGAACCGTGGTGTGGCCCCAGTTCTCCCCACTGCTCAAAGATGACAGTTAATGTACCACACAAATCAATTCAGAAGTGTGTGTCGGGGTTGGGGGGTAGACATACTGAAGAACTGAAGGGTTCTTGCAAAGACTGACTTAAAGGTGGCTCATGCCACCCTAATTCAAATCACAGACTGAAGCCCTTTACCCTTCTCAGGTTTGGAGTGGTAAAATTTAAAACTACCCCCTAGGGTCTTAAGGAATAAGGGATTGTTACTGCTAGACATTTACCAAGTGGCAGGACTTCCTGAGCACTGCTCGGGGGCTACGTGGGGTTGGCCAGGTGGCTTTTGTCCTAAATACTCTAGGGAACCATCCAAGTTATTCAGAGAATCCACTTCCCCGGAACATGCCCTAATGTGGTGCTTCCCTGCCTCCCCCCGCCCCCCAGCTAGATGGCCCCCCCCATGAGTGAGTCAGTCTCCGTGGGTGAGTCAGTCCCGGCTGGCAGAAAACCCCCCAGATTCTTGGCTTCATTCAATGTGCTTGTCGATGGGAGTATGCATGTACCACCAATGGCTCCCTCTCAAGCTTACTAAAGTTTTTTAATGATCTCAAATCAAAGGAGAAATAAACATTTATTTTTCTAAATTTAGAGAAGAGATTAGAAGAGACAGAATAGAACAAATATTTACTGAATGCCTACTATGTGCCAAGCAGGTACTAGGTAAAATGTGTAACTATAAAACTTCATTTCTTCCTCACTACAGACTTATGGGGGGTAGGAACTGTTATTCTCCTTTTAGCAATGGGGCAACTAAAACTCCAATAAGGGAAGTGCTCTACCCAGGACGAAGCAGCTGGTAAGCAATGGCACCAGGACTCCCAACATCCGGGTTTTCAGATGCTAAAGGACAGCAAATAAGGGTTTTCCAACCTGGATCTGTCTGCTGCAGACTTATTTTCTCCAAAGGGCATCCTGTGCCATGAAGACACCAGATGGATAAGGACAGATCCAAGGTAACTCTGGGAATGAGAGTGCCCCACGTCTCCAGTCCTTTGGTGGAGAGAAAGACCCTTGGAAGCAGGTTGCAGACGTGCTATCAAGGACATAGAATGGGGCAAGATCCCTGGCCTGGGTCAGAAGCAGTGTTTGCCATAGGGCATCCCTAAACCACATGGCACATCTCATTATCTCCCAAAGATACATTGAGCCAATGCAGGCCTGTCACCTCACTTATAACCTACCAGAGGAATTAATGAATTTTTAGTGTTCAGTGGAAATAGTGGTATCATCCTGAGAAGATTAAGCTTGTTTTCAAGATAACAGACAGACAGGAAGCTTCTTCCATAGCTCTGCCACTCTGTCCCCTGAAAAGCCTGCCCACCTCCTCACAGGTGCAGGCTGGCTGCAGACTGCCCCCTTTCAGCTCTGTGATCAATGCACTTCAAACTCATCTGGCAGCTTCTTGGGGCTCATCCTGCGAAAAGGTACAAACCGATCTTCTGCTCCTTCCCCTCTGGGCTTCAAGTACCACATCTGCAATACCAAGGACGTTAAGAAAACCCGGCCTTCAGGCACCAACTTGTGGAAGGAGCAGTGGGTACACACCCCATTCCACAAACCTGCAGAAAACACAGTGGCCCAAACCACAAGTCCACGTACTGTCTGGGACCCCAGGCCTGCCACCTCCTTCTTCACCTCATCTCCTTCTCATTCTACTAATTAATGAATTCCTAAAATCCCAGAGGAACAGTCTCATTCCTTTGCTGCCTGACAGATGTGACCTGTAGCCTTGCAGGTGTACACAGCTGCTTCCTCAGAGACCCTGCAGCTGGGTTCCTCCCTCAGCCTCTTCCATTTGCAGGTCTTGGTGACTCAAAGCCCAACTCCACCTGGGTTCTGCAGAGTCCTCACAGGGCAAAGGACAGGGGACCCAGCACCCCAGTTTCCCACTTCACAGAAGGGGCTGAAATATTCACCCTGCCTGTATCACAGGTGGTTATGAGCAAATGGGTAGCATGGGACAACGTGCCTGCTCTCTCCTGCTTCAAGTACTGAAAATGTAAGTTATTATAAATGTTGTGCTTTAAGTTGCTCCTTCATGGCACTCTCAGGAGATTTGGTAATTGGTGGCAAACTTCCTACCTTTACAAAGGCATTGCTTACCATCCATCTTCAAACCCTACACTTCAGACCTAGCTGTCCTTTATGGTGGCCACCAGCCACTTGTGGCTAGGGTGATTTGGGAATTCCTAGAGATAAAAAACAAACCAGATTTTGAAAATGTGGTATTAAAAAAACATAAATTGTCTCATTAATAATTTTTATATTGGCCACATGTTCCAAAGACAATATTTCGGATATATGGAATTAAATAAAATATACTACTAAAATCTAAACAAACAAATTAATTGATAAGCACCATGGGATCAAAAACTCCTTAAGAGCAGGGCCTGTGCCTGACTCACTGCTACTAATACACGTAGCATCCAGTATGCACACAGCAGATGATGACACATGTATTAAACTGGATGAATAAGGGAATGAAAGAAGGTCTGACTGAAAAGAAACTGATATAGATACTCTTGCAGAAAAGATGGTGAGAATACCAGAGAAAAGCAAGAGTCAAGTACTCCTTGGTGGCCAGCCTAACTCCATTGCAGAGCATACCACTGAGACATTTTCTAACCATTTTGATTCCTTAGAATTGAGGAAATAACACCAAAACATTCATTTCTTTAGATGGGAATAAGGCTTTTTAATCAAAATGGGTCACTTTTCCCAAAGTGAGCATTCTCTCTTCACTGTTGAGAGTAGCAGGGCCAGTAACTATCTGAAAAAAGTTATGCAGCTCGGCTTGCAAAATCAGCTGTTCCAAGGGAAATGCTAGTTTTTAAATTTTGAGTCTCTGAGGAAAGTGTCCAAACATCCTTGGGAATGAGGTATATAAAAAGTTAGTAGTAGTAACTGTTCCACTATAATCTACAAAGACAGGAAGGGCTAACGGAACACCACCATCGGGGACTTGTTCACCCAGGTGAGAGCTACTTACTTGGCGCAGGGAGCGAGGACCAAACAGTAACCTACTTAATTGCAAAGAGGAGTGGTGGTGAGAGAGAATTTGTTTAAGCGAGACGTAACCTTAGGGGGAAAAACAAATATCCTAGCCCAAGTCTTTAATCCTCTCTGGAAATACCAAAATCTCCTCTAAAGCGCTACATCTGGACTCCCACCAGTCCCTGGCGCACTCAGACCTTTTACAAAGCTCTTGGGAAGACAAATGCAGACAAATTTCCCAAGGGGAAATTAAATTCATCTTAAGTGAGGTGAAGCCTTTTCAGAACAAGTCATTCACGTGATTCTCTCAGCCTCCCTTCCCTCCAGCAGCAACAGGCTCAGACTTTCCTAGGACGCTCTTAACTAACAGCCATTTCGATAAAAAGAGATTTAAAAATGGAGACACGAAGAAAACATTTAGAGAACATGACTGCTAAAACTCCAAGCTCACAGAAGCAAAGCTCTTGCTTTAGGAGTGTTTCAGGTCAACAGGTAAAACAAAAAGCACACAACTAAAGCAAAAACGCGTGGATTTTCCTTGGTCTCCATTGCTGGAGTCTTTCTACTCAGTGTTCAAACTCAATCTCCCTGCCCTCTGGAGTTAACAGGAATACAGCTGTAGCTCAGGCTTAGGGAGCCTGAAGGGCTCTGATCCTCTCCCTCCAAAGGGGCGGGTCAACAGCATCTACCAAGCTCCTTCTCCAAGTCTTGCTGGGGTTTCGCTTCACTTGCTATCCTAAGGGCACCAAATGGAACTTTCTAACATCCTCCATGGCCAGAGGGCACGGAAAAGAAGCACCCAAGACTGTTTTCTTGAGAACCAAAGGAAGTGGTGCCTGCTCTGGCCCAGATCCCATTTGTGAAAACGCCTCCGAAGTGGGCATTTCTCCGGGCATGGTAAAATTATAGGCAGTGAAGACACACGTGTCCAAGTGGCTCTCCATCCAGATGACCCTCATTAAAAAGCTGACGCTCAGCTATGACTAAGAGTAAATGCAGCAAATATTTCAAGGAGCTCGTCACTGATGCAGCCCATAACCATCCCAGCTGGAGCCAGGCCCCAGCAGCCTCCCCTATACCCACACCCCGTGCTCCTTCGGGAGTTGGCGGCAGCCCTTAAGCCTCTCCCAACTAACTGGGGTGAAATATGTAAACAAGTAGTTAGGGCGGCCGGCAAGCACGACCATGGGCGATAGCTCCCCCTCAGTCACTGAAAGCAAGGGAGATGACCCCGGCTTGGGGGTAATTAGCCCGACCGAGGCACGTCCCAGGGGTCCTGCTACTGAGCTTTGAAAGCCTCTACAGAGTAAACCGGGAGCCTGGGCCAAGGGGGGGAAAATGGCCACTTTCCGCTAAACAGTCTGAAGGCTAAGGCTCTACAATTTAGATGGTATTCCAAAAAAAGAGCTGGTCCGGAGGTGCAAAGAGCAGGGCACATCTGCGGAGGAAACAGTCACCTTAATTACCATGTCTAGAGAAAGTGCGATTTCATTACAGCCTCCAAAACTGCCGCCCCAAGGAGGAAACCAGAGAAGTGTTTTCAATTTGAAAGAGGCTGGAAAGGAGAGGGTGAGAGACCAAGTCGCCCCACCCTACTGAAACCTTGGGCCATAAGGTGCTTTCCTACGTCGAAGGTAGGTGTGGAAAAAAACCTCAACAATGCAACTCCTGCTTTCAAACCTGTAGCCGTTGTTTAAATGGTCAAATATCCCACTTCAGTTTCCGAGGGTTGCAGCCCAAACAACTCCTTAAAAGCCCTCCGGGAGAGCCTCTGGCGGCGACAGCCCCCGCCCCCGCCCCGCCGCGGGCCGCTGCGCCCAAGTGGGCTCCCGGGAGTGTGCAGAAGGGACGCGTGACGCCACTGTCGCCGCCGCCGCCGGGCGGCCGGAGACCCGACGCTGGGCTCCGGGCCGGCCAGACGCACCCGCTGCTCCAGCTGTAACTGCAGGGACGAGCCAGCAGTGCTTTGGTTCCAGAAACTTCTGTCATGGATAGTTCTGGGTCAGACCCAGTCAGACCCATGGCCAAAAAGGCCACCTCCGGCAGATGCGCCGTTCTCAAGTGCCACCCCCCTAAAACAGTGGCCCCATCTTCTACGATGCCTTCCTTTGCGCACAATCTAGAAAGCACCATCTCCATCAGATCCTAAATAACTTGGACTCCAGGGTAACTTTCTTTTCTCCCCAAATCCCAACGCCCCATCTCCAAGCCTCAAGGAATTCTAACGAGGGATGTAGGTGGTAAAGACAAATTGAGGAATCCTAGTCTTAATCTGGGAGAGGGGGAAGGGATGTTAATGTGGCTGCGGCGTGGGGTGAAACGGAACCAGATGCGGCTGCCACAGCTGGAAAATGGGGGTAAACGTGTTGAGGGAGAAAGACACCGCAGACAGTTTTTAATGGGCTTCTTGGGCCCAGAAAGGAAAAGCAAGCTTTGCTCCCAACCCCCGCCGCCCAAAGGTAGTCTGGCTGTCTTCATACGATATGTGTTAAATGAAATCCATCTACAACCTCGGTAGATTCCTTTGCAAATGAGGGTCCTAGCCCCTTTTCTCCCAACCCCGAATATAACGGGAGGGGGCGCGGGGCCCGAGAAGTAACAAACATCGCAGTGGAGGGAACCGCACCGGACAAAAACGCTCATCCCTTCCCCCACCTCCTAGAACCAGAATGGAACTGAACGTTCCCCTCCCCCCGACCCGGTCCGGGGGCTGAGCCTCCCCCGCCGGGCGCCCTCCCCTTCCCCAAACTTCCGACTCTTTCAGAGAGCGGCTCAGGAAAAGATAACCCCCTCTGGAAAAGGGAATTCCTTTCTCGCTCTCCACTCCAGCGGATTCAGCCATTTGGTGACGACACCTCCTTAAAACCTATTCCAAGAGAAGCTAACCTACCCCTCCACTTCCTTCCCTCTCCGAGTCCCCGTCCACCCCCGCCAACCGCGACCCCAGATTTCCCGGGAGGTGGAAAGGGCCTTAGAAACACCACCCCGGATTTTTTAGCGTTCCACCTGCGGAACTGGGGTGAGTCCGCACTAGTGGACTAAAAGGAGATGGAGTGGAATGCAGCACACACACACACACACACACACAGACACACACGCGCGCGCACACACACACACACACAGACACACAGCGCACACACACATACACACGCTCCCCACCTCGCTGCCCACTCCCGCCCTCCTCCCCAGGCCGCGGAGACCGAGCGCCGCCGCCGCCGCCCCGGCCGGGCCCCTCCCCGACTCACCGCCGAGCCGCCGGCGCGTCGCCCGCTCCCCGGCGCGAGTTGGCGGAAAAGTTGGGCAGCAGGAGGAGCGGCGGGACGAGCGCGGGGAGGGGGCGCCGAAGGCGACGCGAGCCGAGAGATGGGAGGGGAGACAAAGGGGGGCTCCGAGCGCCCGGGAGGGAGGCGGGGGCGGAGGGAGGCGCCGGACCCGACCGGCTGCGGCGGGGGCAGCGCGCGGGCAAAGGAGGCTCCGGCGCTGGGTCCGCTCGGGACGCCAAGCCCGCCCCGGGTCCGCGGGCGCCGCGGCTCTTACCTCACTCGGCGCGGCGGGGCCGCCTCAGCAGAGTCCGCCGTGGCTTGGGCGGGCGGGCGGGCGCCCGCGTCCCCGGCTCCGGCCCGCCGCCCCCGGGCTCCGCTCGGATCCTGGCGGGGCGGCGCGAGCCCCGCGGCCGGCGCTCGGCTCCCGGTGGCGCTCGGGGCTCGGCGCCTCCGGTCGGGGCGGGAACAATGGAGCCGAAGCTGGTGCCCCGGAGGCGGGGCGGGGGGAGGGCTCCCGCCCGCCTCCCGGGGTCTCCAGACCCGGCGGGCCCCTCTCCGGAACCGGGCGGCGGCGCCTCACGCCCCGGGCCGCCCGGGCTCCATCGCCCTGCGGGGCCGCGGCGCCGCGGCGTGCCCGACTGCCGCCCTGGGACCGAGCGCCCTGCGGGGCGCCCCGCGGACCGCAGCAAGTCCGCGGTCTCCGCCGCTCTCCCCGCTGCGGCGCGCGCTCGCGGCCGGGGAAGGCGAGGGCGCCGCAGTGCGCTAGGCAGCGTCTCGGTCCAGCCCGGACGTGGCCTCCCAGCGCCGGGCTCAGCCCGGGCTTCTCCGCGCGCTGCGGCGGGACCGGAGTCGGGGCTCCCGCTCGCCGCCCGCCGCCGAGGCCGCCGCAGCAGTGCCCGCAGGAGCGCTCCGAGAGCTGTGCGCCGGCGAGGCGCGAGGGCTGGCTCACTCCCACCCGCGCTGGTACCACCTCCTCCTCCTCCCCCTGCCGCTGCCTGCTGGGCCTTGTAGTCCCGAGAAGCCGCGAGCGCGCTGCCCGCTCCTTCCCGCGGGGCCGGCCTCCTCGGCCGCGCTTGTCCCTCAGTCTGAACCCCGCCAGGTAGGCGCCCGAATTTCAGGCCGTGGCAGATTAGCAGTCTGGGGGCATCCTGAGCTTGGTTGTTCACGCCAGCACGGGCTTTGGAGCCTGTCATGCCCATTTCCCTTGGGGAAATGATCTCACCCCAAATCTCAGTTTTCTCACCTGTAAAACGGGGATACTAAGTGCTTTCCATTTAGAGTTAGGGATTAATTGACGGCCTGGAACATAGTTAACACCCAATAAATACTGAGTTGTTATTCATGAGAGTGCTGACCCCCTCCTCAGACCCTTTTCTTCCACCTCACCTTCCCTAGCCAGAGTTCGGTTTCGTGGTCCCATGAAGCTGGGCCCTGTTAACCCCACAGTGCCATTCTTGCCTTCCAGGAATCTTCAGCTTGCAATGAATTTTAGGAAGCAAAGAGAGTGGTGGGAATTGGGGGTGTGTTGGTTAGGAAATTAATCAGAGCCCACCTAATGTATACACTAGTACCCTGTGGAATTCTAGGAAAAGTAGCTGAAATGCCCTTTCCCCGAGGTCTTCCGTGAGTCCTCTGGGAACTTCTGAAAAACACAAACTCTTGGTCCTGCTCAGACTTGAGGAATCTCAAGTCCCATGGAAGAGCCAAGAGTCTACATTTTTTTTTTTTTTTTAAGCTGCCTTGGTGCCAGGTTGGGGGCCCCTGTAGGGGGAAGAAGTGTGCCACACTAGGCATGAAAGATGCCCCCATTCTGATCCCCTACTTATGAACTGTTTGATTTTGGACAAGCCATGCATCTGAAAAAATCAAGACATATATATATTTCCCCCTCCAAAGGCTGTCATGAAAATCAAATAAAATTACCCACGTTAGTCACCAAAGTTACACAAAGAGAAGTCACTAAAAAAATGGTTAGAGCCTCTTCCCTCAGCCCCACCCAACCAAAGCCCACAGGGTTGTGGAAGCTTCATTCCTGGATGAGATTACCACCCCCCTTAAATTTGAGGAAAAGATCTCAAAGTTATTTCTCTAATTGATCAGCAGGTGGAAGAATAGTGACCAATTCAGTGTCATTTACACAGTAGGAGCTCTGTCAATGTTTACTGACTGACCAAAGAGTATATATTCAATAAATAGTTGTTGAATGAATGAATAAATTAAAAATTAAATAAAAAGTAGGAACTCAAGTATTGTGGATAAATGAACTTCGGTCATGGTTATAGGGTCATCCCCCCTACAGGTCTATCTCCCTACTCTTCAGCCCTTCAGCTCCTGATCAAACTCTCCATATTAGCTGCCCAATCATTGGGCCTTCTTCATTTTAAATAATGCTCACTCCAGACCTGTAAGAAGGCCAAAGTCACACCTCTTCCCATTGGAGAGGCCTTCCGTGCACATCCCAGCCCTGTGGGCCTCTGGAACCCTACTGACCTGGAATATCCCACTGAATTGATATTTAACATAATGCTACTTGTCTTTTTTACTCTTTCTCTCTAACTAGTTTCTAAACTGATCCTATCTATCTGACCTAGCTTGGGACTCTAATCAGGAGGTGTTTCATATTTCTTTGTTGGTAGTAGACTCTATTAGGGTAACAATTTAATTGGGAAGACAAGCCAGCCAGTATTTAATGTAAATGTCCAACTGCTGTTTTCCTACTTTATTGCTGTAAGAGTCTATCACCCTTCCTTTCTGTGATTCTTCTAAACAGGTTTTTTTTTTAACCCACCCTTTTCTTTCTTTTGATTTGGAAGCATTTTAGGGGTATCTTGAACCCAAAAGAAGAGGCTGAAGAATGTGTCCTTGATTTAAACTGGAAGAGAATGAGTTAACACCAGTCTGTTTGGTGTTGAGTGTCATAGATTTACTGCTGAACATAGTTCTGTATAAATTCATCAAGAAAGCAAAATGAATGCAAGTGGCCAACTTGATAGTGCGCCGCCCCCCGCCCCCCCCCGCGCCCAGTTTTCAGTGAAACAGCCAAAGACAGCGGAGTGGAGAAGGTGAGAAACCCAGGGAATGAACAGGCTGTCCACAGGCCACAGACATGACTCCTGAATAATTGAGAGCTGGCCGCTTTTTACCCTTCCAGCCCAGGTCCCCCTACCCCGATCTGGGCCACTCCTCCCCCCTCCTCTTTCTGAAATGCGGACCCTCCACTTCAGGACAGGCCCCAGGCCAGTCCGGGGAGAGCATCTCCAGGGCAGGCTTTAGCGGCCCCAGGCCACAGGGGTCAGCTGGCAGCTCCGCCTGCCTCTGTCCTGCTCTGAGGACTCCTGGCACCTTGCCTCCCCACACAGAAATGTAATCTTCCCTTTGAGATAACAAAGAGCTGGGAGGGTCAGGGAGGATTTGTAGGCCCCTTGCCCTGCCAGCTTGATGTCTGAGGGGGAGACAAAGGCCCTCACGCTGGAGGACCTGATAACCAGTTGGGGGCCTGTTGCCTCCCGGGCCTGTGGGCGGAGGAGAACCGTGCTGAATGAGACAGAGGGAAACAGAGCTCTCCCCAAAGCCCAATCAGTTCTCTTTGTTTGGGAACACTGCAGAAAATCCCTTCCCTCTTCCTCCTCCAGCTACTTGTGTCCTGGAGTTCTTCAATTTAAAAGGGAGCCCCTCCTCGCTCCCCAGGACCCCCCTGCTCCATCTGAGTTCAGTTATTTTAGGGCTCAGCTGTTTCCACCAGGTCTGAGCACCCCCACTTACTGCAGAGTTCACACCTCTGGGTCCAGGCTGGGCCAGAGAGCTGCTCCAGCAGCTTTGGGAGTCTCAGCCTGGAGGGAATCACCGAGGTTCAGCTCTGAGAGCTGGTTGTGGGATGGGATTCAGGAGGAGGGGAACCGTCTGGGTTTTTCCCTACCAAGTGGCTGTTCACAGGTCCCTGGGAGCAGGTGGGGCAGCCAAGCCTTTTGCCTCAGGCCCCTGGAGTTAGGCAGCCGCAGTCAGTTACCATCTGGCTGCCATTTGGTGACCCCCGGCTGTTCTCAGCACAGTTCCAGCATATCAGTCAAGGGAGGGTCTTGCTTGGCGTGGTGTTTTTGTAAACAACATTTCACTCCCTCCTACCAACTAGGAGTGCAGAAGGGAGCTGGTGGTAGCAGCAGCTTGGCCTGTCTGGCCGAAAGGCAACAGTCAGTCACTGAGCACTGGGGTGAGCGCTGGGGTGGCACTTCTCATGGGGCAGGCACCGGGCAGGGCACAGTGGATTCAAAGATGGAGGAGAGGGGGGCGCATTCTCAGGGGGTTCTGGTCTTGTGGCGGAGACCAGACATCACAAGTAGTGCCATCCCAGGGGCACCTTCAGGGTGGCTAGGGGAGGGACCCGGGAAGGAGACAACTCAGGGGAAGGGATGCCTGAAATCTTGAAAGATGATAAACAGCATGTGAAAATCCACAAACTCATTTGGTGTCATTGAAGAAGGCAGGACTGCGGAGTGCATGCGGAGTGTTGGAGCCTCTGTATTATCTTGTTCTGAAGAAAAGAACTGTTATCTCTGGGGTCAAACAGGTCCTGATTATACCACTTCTTTCTGCCTCTGTGATCCTGGGCAAATTCCTTTACTTGACTCTGTTTCTTCAGTGGTGAAATAAGGGTGAAAATAGTATCTGTTCCTCATCAGGACTATTGGAGGGATTTAATGAGAATGCATGTAATATGCTTGGCTTAGTGCCTATTTCATAATAAGTGCTCAATAAATGGTAGCCACTGCTCTTATATTTCAGCTCAAGAACTTTTCTTGGATCCCAGATGCCTCACCTAGAGCCCATTTTCCAGGTGTCACTGTGAAGTTGTCCTCCGGTTACCACTGTCTTAGGATTCTCTGTCCCACAAGACCAGCTACAGAAAAGGATATATTTTTCCCACCAGTCCCCACTTCCTTGCTGGCCCCCAAGATAAGCAGCCCCCTTGGTTATAGGTTTTACTGTGAAACAAGAAGAAATCAACATGAACATGTATGTAGATGTTAACAAGGCTTCCAGCAGCCAGGATCCCTTGTGTAGGTTCCAGACTCCCTTCAGAATGCTCGCTGCCTACCCAGGGCTTTTGTTCGCTGCTTTTCTTCAGGCCCCCCTAACCTATCCTCTCTTTCTGACCCCAACTTACAAATCCTCTCCTGGTGAGAGCCACTCATCCAAAGCACTGTGCTGGGCCCTCCCGAGGTGACAGAAGAGGCAGAGGGAGAACAGTGGACAATTTGCATTTCTGAGGACTCCCCAGCAGTAAGGACCTTAAGTTTCTGGCCTGCCTAGGGACAGAGATCAGAGTGCCATGGTTAGAACTGAGATACTTGAGGATTCACCTTTGAAATGGATTCCATCCAAGGATATGCTAATAAAGTTGCAGATGACTTCTCCTGGGTCGTTAAGAGCTTT